CTTCAACAAAATCACTGATGCTGGAGTTGCGGTGTTATCACTCAGCACCAGGATATTGTTGGGGAGGACGGCCCGTGCGGCGTCCAGGGCTCGCCGGCCACTCATCCGTCGCACCTCTTCCAAAGTGGCCCCTGTGCTCCCCAGGGCTGGGCCGGTTATCAGGGGCCAGGGCCAAAAGCAGGACGGAGCCAGCCCCCTCCCTCCAGTGCAGGCCCAGCTGTTCCGTCCCTGTCCCTCCAGGAGGCCTGGCGTGGGCCCACGGGGGGCGGCTGGCCGCCTTGGTGCGGAGGACGGCCAACTGCCTGAGGCCGAGCGGGGAGGCTTCAAGCCCAGCAGAGGCGGCCCCAGCCGACCACTCCCGCTAATTCTCCTGCAGGGCGGGCGTTTAGCCATGTCTCCCCAATTTCTTTTATGTAACAAAATCCTTTTCAGAGTGGTTCACGAGATGGTTCCCAAAGACAACCCCAGGGAGCCGCCACACTCTCGTGAAATGGCTCTCACCCACACCCACAGGTGAGGGAAACTGACCCCACCGGCCGTGCCGGGTCCTCACCTGTGCACGTACTTGTGCTGGTGTAAGTGCGAGACCCCGCAGGCCACCTCGCAGGCCATGCGCTGCAGGGTCAGCGGGTCAGGCGCCATGGACTCCACCACCCGGCAGCTCCGCAGGTAACCCTTGAGGTCCCCCTGCCAAGAGAAGCGAGTCCGTCACAGCTGGCTGAGGAGTGGGCCGGGAGCAAGCCCCCCACCCGTCTGGAGAGAGCTCTGTGCCCCAACCCAGCCACCTCCCCAACTCCTCCTGCCCCACCCACAGGCCTGTTGGGAAGTAGCCAGGCACCCGGCGAGCCGCAGATGCCCAGAGGAGCACTGTCCCTGGAGTGGGGGCGTCTCCCTGTGGGACAGGCAAGGGGACCCACCATGGCACCCCACCAGTCCAGAATGCTTTCTCAAAACCACCCCGTTATCCCCAGTAGCCCTGTGGGGTCAATAGGGTTGTGCCCTGTTGGACAGACGAGAACCCAGGGGCTCAGATGGCTGTGCTTAAGTCCGGGAGCTGAGCTGAGCTAGGAGCTGAGCCGGGTGACACACTAATCGGGTGTCCCAGGAGGGGCAGGGCCCAGACTCCAAGGGAAGCCCAGGCAGGTGACTGCTACAGCCAAGAGGAGCCAAAAGCAGCTGGCCTGGGGGCCTGGAGGGCAGCCCTAGCTCAGCGCTCCTGGCCTGGGCTCAGCCCACCACCAGAGCTGTGTTCCGTGGGGCCTGTATGGGAAGAGGCCCCAAGGGGGACAGTTGGCGGTCACAGGACTTAGAGTCAGCTCTGGGAAGTGGCCCCTGACACGGAAGTGAGGAGCGTGAACACCCATGCTGGCTGGGGGTGCCCTCCTGCCCTCAAAACCGCCATCATCCAGGCTCCCCTGAGGCCGTAGATGGGGAGCAGGCCCTCCCCAGGAAGAGTCCCCCTTTTTCATGGGGTTGACCCCCAGGCTCCTCTGGAGATGGTGGGGCAGGCCCAGGAGCCCGCTCTGGGGTATCAGGCCCACAGGTGGGTGACCCAATGGCAGGGCCGAGGGAGGACCCCAGCCCAGGCAAAGTCCCTCCCAGGGAGTCTGGCTGACCTTCTCTTCCGGCCTTGTGCACCAGAGGGGCTTCAGAGTGGGGGGCCTGCAGAGGTGGTGGGTGCACCCCGCCCCGTGGACACCCCGACTCACCAGTGGGCAGAATTCCATCACCAGCAGGTAGGGCGTCACCTCCACGCACTGCGCCAGGCACGGGAGCAGGTTACTGTGCTGCAAGGCCCTGTGGAGCCGACAGCGCCCTGACCACCCAGGAGCAGAGGGCAGCGGGTGGGAGGGGGCCGCCCCCCACCCCCCGGCAGAGGGCAGGGAGGAGCCAGGGTGGACGGCACAGAGCTTGCCTTTGTTTACAGGGGCCGCAGCGCCCCACCCCTGCCCAGGCGGCCGTCACCCGCCCCCACAGGTTGCTTTGGGAACGTTAGTCCAGGCCCCAGCACGGCGGCCCACCTGTAGGGCTGCACCTCCTCCAGGAACTGCATCTGCTCCTGCACGCTGGCGCTGGCCTTGAGCTCCTTCACCACCACCTGGCTGCTGCCGCTGCCCGAGTTCACCTCCCCCAGGAACACCTGCACCGGGGCACCACCGGGCGCTCAGGCCCGCGCTCCTCCTCGCCCCTCACACCCCAAGTCCCTCTTCATCCTCACGCCCCAAGTCCCTCCTCGCCCCTCACGCCCCAAGTCCCTCTTCATCCTCATGCCCCAAGTCCCTCCTCGTCCCCACGCCCCAAGTCCCTCCTCGTCCCCACGCCCCAAGTCCCTCCTTGTCCTCATGCCCCAAGTCCCTCCTCGCCCCTCACGCCCCAAGTCCCTCTTCATCCTCACGCCCCAAGTCCCTCCTCGCCCCTCATGCCCCAAGTCCCTCTTCATCCTCATGCCCCAAGTCCCTCCTCGTCCCCACCCCCCAAGTCCCTCCTCACCCCTCACGCCCCAAGTCCCTCCTCGTCCCCACACCCCAAGTCCTTCCTCGTCCTCACGCCCCAAGTCCCTCCTCGTCCCCACGCCCCAAGTCCCTCCTCGTCCCCACCCCCCAAGTCCCTCCTCGCCCCTCACGCCCCAAGTCCCTCCTCGTCCCCACGCCCCAAGTCCTTCCTCGTCCTCACGCCCCAAGTCCCTCCTCGTCCCCATGCCCCAAGTCCCTCCTCGTCCTCACGCCCCAAGTCCCTCCTCGCCCCTCACGCCCCAAGTCCCTCCTCGTCCCCACGCCCCAAGTCCTTCCTCGTCCTCACGCCCCAAGTCCCTCCTCGTCCCCATGCCCCAAGTCCCTCCTCGTCCTCACGCCCCAAGTCCCTCCTCGCCCCTCACGCCCCAAGTCCCTCCTCGTCCCCACGCCCCAAGTCCTTCCTCGTCCTCACGCCCCAAGTCCCTCCTCGTCCCCATGCCCCAAGTCCCTCCTCGTCCTCACGCCCCAAGTCCCTCCTCGCCCCTCACGCCCCAAGTCCCTCCTTGTTCTCATACCCCAAGTCGCTTCTTGCCCCTCATGCCCCAAATCCCTCCTCGCCCCTCACGCCCCAAGTCCCTCCTCGTTCTCATACCCCAAGTCCCTTCTCGCCCCTCAAGCCCCAAGTCCCTCCTTGCCCCTCACTCCCCAAGTCCTTCCTCATCCTCACGCCCCAAGTCCCTCCTTGCCCCTCAAGCCCCAAGTCCCTCCTCGCCCCTCACGCCCCAAGTCCTTGCTCATCCTCACACCCCAAGTCCCTTCTCACCCCTCACGCCCCAAGTCCCTCCTCGCCCCTCACGCCCCAACTCCCTCCTCGCCCCTCAAGCCCCAAGTCCCTCCTCGCCCCTCACGCCCCAAGTCCCTCCTCACCCCTCACGCCCCAAGTCCCTTCTCATCCTCATGCCCCAAGTCCCTTCTTGCTCCACGCCTCAGTTCTCGTTTGCAAATGGGCACTTGGTCCCTCCCCAGTGAACCCTCTAGCTGTAACATTTGGGTCTTTCTGTGTGTCTCCCCCAAGCTCCCCAGTTTTCTTGGCTTTCTCTGGGGGTCTGTGGTGATCAAGGGCTGGGGTCTGGGGAGAAGCCAGGGCCAAGATGCTGTCCCTGCACCTGCCCAGCCCTGATGATAGGCGCCCCAGCTTGGACACCTGGGGATCTGCAGAGGAGTGGCTGCCTCCAGGGCTGGGGCGGCTCCCTCCCTCCCACCACCAGGTGTACCGAGCCCTGCCCCTACTCACCTTCCCGAACCAGCCGTGACCAATCTCCTTCAGGTACAGGAGGCTGTGCCGGCCCAGGTCTGTGGGGTTGAGGAGCTGCACTGTACCAGGACGGGGCGCTCAGGACCTACCCAGCCTCCTCCCTGGCCCCCCTACCCCAGCCGCTCGAGGGAGCAGTTCTGGAGGGACCCCTGAGCTCCCTGGTGCTGGGAAGGGCAGGCCAGCTCAGGAGGCAGAGGCCACACCTGGGGGCTGCCATCAGGGGCCAGGGCCTCTGGCGGGGGGGCTGTGCCCAGGAGACCAGGAGCTGCAGGATCCTCCCGGGCATCTTTCTGGGTAGGGCTGGGAGGGGTGCCTGGAGTGCAGGGACCAGCCAGGGTGGGAGACCGTGGGGGCTGGGCAATGCCAGGCAGGCAGAGGGGCTGGGCCAGAGAAGCTGGTGGCAAAGGCGGAGGTGGGGGCTGGAACAGGCCGTCCCCTCACCCCTGCCACGGCCTGGCATCCCGGTGCCTGTGCTCCAAAGGCCCCTTTGTTGGGGGCTGCTTGGCACCGCTGCGCCGGACACACTGGGCCCTTTCTGCCTGCAGCCTGGCTGGCTGAGGTCAGCGGGAGGAAGGGTCAGCGGGGCTGGGAGGAGGGGCCAGGGCACGCCAGTCGCCAAGCCCACCCACACCCCTGCCTGCACCCCGAGGGATTCCCCGAATTCTGCTCCCACGCCAACTGCCTGAAGGGTCATGGGGCAGGGGCTCAAAGTGGCTGGGATGGAGCCCGGGGAGCAGGGGTGGGGGAGCTGATCCAGGGACCAGAGCCCCACGGAACAGGAAGGCTGATGGCCAGAAGCCTTGGGGCCCTGTGTCCTGGGGCTCCTCCCCTGGGCCCAGCCTGTCCGGACCCTCCTCTCCAGCCCTGGGGTCTCAGGCAAGTGTGCAGATGGGGGTGTTATCCAGCATCACCCCAGATCTCTCCCTCTCCCCCTCGGGAAGCAGAGCACCCCCAGGACGGTGAGGCCAGAGCAGCAAAAACAGAGAACACGGGCCGTCATGGCTTCCTCTGGGTTCCTGTTGGTGCCTGTCCATGGGGACAGTCCCCGAGAGGCAGCAGAAGCTGGCTCTCAAAGGTGTCCTCTGGGGTGGCCTCTGGCCCCCCAGCTCCCAGTGTCCAGCACAGAACTCAGGCCCACGGTCACACAGGAAGTCAAGGGAGTCCTCAGGAGAAAAAGAGTCCACCCTCGGGCCCTCAGCTCTGTCCACAGATGTACACACGCCCATGGGTGCTGGGCCTGAGCTCTGCCTGGCTGGTGGGTGGGGGTGGGTGCCTTGGGGTCCCCCAGTCCATGACGAAGGCTGGGGTCTTGGGGTGGGCCTGTGACACTGTGCTCTGTGGGACTTGCTTGTCGCCATGGTTACGGACTGGTGCCAGCAGAGCCCTCACAGGGCCACCAGGGGACAGAAGCTCAGCCCCTGGCCTGACACCCCCTTCCTCAGGGTTCCAGGAGGAGCTGAGGGGGACAGTGGGGAGGGTCAAGGTGCCTTTGGCTAGAAGCATCCAGGGAGGGGGGACCTAACATTGCCCTGAGCGGCCTGAGGCCAGGCCCCCCGACTCCAGGTCAGAATGGGGCTCCTGCAGTGAGCGGGGGTGGGAGGCAGGTGGAGAGAGGCTAGGGGCAGAGGACCCTAAGCTGCACTTCCACGGCTGGGGGGATCAGCTGGCGGTACCCCCGCCTCAAGAGCCCAAGTGAAAGGCCAATTCTCAGAGCACTGAGAATCCCCTCCCCCGTGTGGGTGGGCCCCACCCAGCCACACAATGGGGCCCATGTCCCTCTACGGCTCCGAGGGGGCGGGAATCTGAGGTCAAACATCTTGGGGACAACAGGCCTGCACAGCATGTGGGTGGCCAATGGTCCCAGGACCACAGACCGGGTTCCCCCTGCCCCCAGAGCCCCTCGGGAAAGGGAAGGGTGAAGGATAGGTGCCCCCAGCCACAGGAGAAGGGGCCACACATGCCCTCAACCAACAGCTAGGCCTGGGGTGCAGCCACAGGGGGTCCCAGAGCAGGGGCAGAAGTGGGGGGCCAGCTAACAGAAGTGGGGTGGCTGCCTCCACTCCAGGGAGCACTGGAAATGAGTCCTCGGCCTCCCCAGAGACCAGCCCACTGACAGGGTGAGCTGCACACCCCACACAACCCCTGGGGCCCCCAGGGGCACCCAAGGGTGCTGACAGAGGAAGGCAGGCGGCCAGCCCCCCACCACACCTAGCAGAGGGAAGGCCCACTCACCTGAACGGCCCGGCTGCTTGGCGGCGGGCAGCGAGACCTCGGCCAGTGGTAGAATGTACACGTCGGGGCCGCCTCGCGCCGTGGCCGCCGGGGAGCCGCGCGCAGAGAAGCCGGCCACGTACTCATCCCCCTCAGCGTTCTCAAACTCCTGCGAGTTGGGGGGGAACACAGTGAACTCCTTGCCCCCCGGAACTACAGGTGGGGCTGGGCTGCCCCAGGGTCTGGCTCAGCAGTAGAGACCCCCAACTCCGCCAGCCACAGACAGCAAAGCTCAGGCCCCCACCAGCTGCCCCTCCAGGGCAGAGCAGAACCCCCCCCCCCCACATACACACTCCTAGCCCCCTCCTCTCTGCAGGAACACCAGTGTCCTAAGAGGGGTTTGGAGCTGGTATGTGTTGGTGAGGGAGACATTTTCTTCCCACAGACAGGAGCCGAGGGAGGAGAGGACTAGGCCCAGCTCACAGATGGGGGCCAGGAGCCTGGGGCCCAGCTTCAGCCAATGCCCCACCCCCACCCATCCCCCTACCCCCCTCACCACCCCTGACCTAGCCAGGCTGGAGGCTGGAGGCACCAGGGGGCAGAAGCAAGGGTGCTGAGGCCAGCGGGCCCAGCCCACCCAAAATTAGCCCCCCAAAACTCTCAGCATCCCCCCCACACCCAGCAGTCCCCACCCCTGGGCCCTGCCATGGGGCGGCCACCTCATGTCAGGGCTGGCAGCCAGGACAGGGGCTCCATCACCCCCACCCTACCGCAGTGTCCACTGGGAGAAGTAACTTGGTACCCCCATCCCTTTCAAGGAGCATTCCAGAGTGTCCTGGAGCAAGGAGCTCCCCGCTATCCTTCTCCCCAGGCCTGGCACCCCTACCACCTACCACAGCCATCTGCCTGGTGGCAGCCCATGACCTTTGCCCCGGGTGGGCCGTCTACTGCTCCCCAGCCGTCCACACCCACCTCCTGGGAGCGCCCAGGGCTCCTTAAGAGCCTGACCTTGGGAAGCCTGAAGCTGGGGCACACGGGGACAGGCTGCTATTTTGAAATGGGGCTGCTGCACCTGTCTGGGGAGACCCCTCCGTACACTCACACACACACACACACACACACACACACACACACACACACACGCATGCACGCAAGCACTAACATGCACACACATGCGCGATACTCACATTCTCCCACATATGCACACGTGCACCCTTATACATGCAGATACACACATTCACACATACGCTCTCATACACATGCTCACACGTGCATGTACACACACAATGCTCACACTCACGCACACAGTGCTCACACGTGCACACTCACACTGACATCCTCATACACAGGCACACACAACACACTTGCTCACATATGCACACATGCCACACACCCGCTTACACGCGCACACACATGCACTCTCACAGTGACACACATGCGTACGCACACACACGTGCACACGTGCTAACACACCACTCCAGGGCACAGTTCCGAGCAGAGAGCCGAAGTCTCCAATGAGTCCCTGGGCCCTCCTTAAAACAACGGCATAATAAAACAATGACCTCTCCAGCCTCACTCGCTGGGCCCTCAGGGCGACCCCAAAACCCCACAGCCCAGCTTGGAAAACCAAAGCTCAGAGGAGTCCAGCTGTCCCACTCCAGACTCGTGCTCACGTGAATGGACGGCAGGACTAGGAGCTGTGTGACCCTGAGACACCCTACCTTTTCTGAGCTGTAAGGAGAGAGGTAGGGGTCTCTGCTGGCCCTATGGGCCAGTCCAAGTCTGCAGCCAGAGAGAACAGAACCACAGGTACTCCCCTACCCAAGGACCCAGGAGACCACTCTTGGGGCTACTGAGCTGTCTGAGCCACACCCCCTTACCACAGTACCCAAGCTAGGAGCCTCTAATTACAGCTGTGGCCACAGCCCCGCCACCCACCGGCTCCAGAGAGGTGCCCAGGAACAGATGTCCTCCTGCTCTGACCTGGGGTCTGGCCCTGCCTCCACCCGTTACCTGGCTGTGCCACCTGGAGGCCTGCCGGATGCCACTGGCCAAGCGGGCGAGCAGGTAGGACAGAGTGAGCATGGCACCCAGCTGTCCGGCCCCGTCTGGAGCAAAGCCCAAGGCAGGTGGGCCTGGCACTGCCCAGAGCCCAGGAGGGGCCCTTGTGGAGGCAGGCCCTCCCACCAAGGCACGCTGCCACTGGAATGTTCCAGCACCATGTTCTGGAGGTGAGGGCACGGGTAGGCGGGGCTGCAGCTTGCCATCGTTTGGGGCCTTGTTCTCACACAGCCCCAGAGGAGGGACTGCCCACTCCCAAACAGCCTTGCAGCCCCGGCCCCAGCATCCTCCTGAAAAAAACCCAGCTCTGCCTGGGCCAGCTGTATGCCCACAGGTCAGGGGACAGCCTCCCTGGGCCCCCATGGCGCCCAGAGGCCACAGCGCCACCTTGGGACCCCATGGGACAGGGGCCTGGGCCCTCCTCGGAGGGTTCACATGTGGGCACAGCAGCTGTCTGTGTCCCCAGCCCATCCACCTCTGGGACACAATGGCTGGGGATGGGCCTCTAGGGGTCAGAGGCACCCAGGAGGCCAGAATGGAGGTACCCCTGAAATACAGACAGGGTGAGGTTGAGTCCCACGATAGGGTCAGCTGGCGGCAGGGGGAGCATCTGGGGCGTCTCCGGGCACAGGAATCTGACCTCTGGCCTGGGGTGGAGCTGACCGCACTGGCCTGTAAATGGCCAGAAGTCTCAGCCACTCAGTAATGTGCTGGGTCAGCAAGAATGGGCCCACCCGGGCAGGCAGGGTGCGGGTGAGTGGCGTCACTGGGAGTGGTGCGGACCACACGGGGTGACATCATCAGATGGGGTGACACCAAAATGACTGTCTATAAAATTTTTGTACAGTGTTTCAGCAGAAATTTATTATTTTTTATAAAAATATCCCTGAGTTAACTATAACAACAAAAACACTTTTCCTAAACCCAGCTTAACCCATTGCAGTTAAGTCGATTCTGACTCATAGCGACCCTACAGGACAGAGTAGAACTGACCCACAGGGTTTCCAAGGAGCGGCTGGTGCATTCGAACTTTGGACCTTTTAATTAGCAGCCAAGCCCTTAACCACTGCACCACCAGGGCTCCAAGCTCAGCTGACATGTATCAATATACCTACAAGGCTCAATCTCTATGCTAATTTACTTTTTGAACCCTCCCATCAGAGCTGTGGTTACTACCCAGTTACAATGACGCTTCCAATCACGTGGTTGCGTCTGCATGGCTACGGGTCTGTTGTTTTTGTTGCTGCTGATGTTTTTATAGTCGCTGATTTTGTCAAATTCTCTGGTGTTTTAGCTACAGTATTGTGGTAGTTGGTATTTGTTAGTATTTATATCACTAACTTTTTTGAGAATGAAGTAGTAATTAAAGGAAAAGGAGAAAAATAAAAAAAAGCTTCCGCTCAGTTACTAATAACATTGTAACTAATCATGTAATTCAATATAGAAAAGTTTTGTGAAACAATGTTGTTAGTATTCATATAGTCTGAGATATTACATTGAAGCATTTACAACTCTTATGTATCACATCTTATCCTACCATGAAAATTGATAATAAACATTACAAAGGCTTCTGTAAGGTCTGGTTTGGGAAGTGGTCCATGGGGGGGTACCATGAGTGACCACACTGACTGACACCAACCCTAGTGACGCCAGTGGTGGGGGCCTCTGGTTGGGGTTTTCAGCCTGGTCTTCCCCACCCAGAGCTGCAGGCATGGGGGCTGCAGGGTGGAGAACAGTACCCCCAAATGATGCACCAGAAACCCTCACCACCACCCTGGTGAGGGGAGAAGGCCCAGCTCTAGAATCCAGCCCAGAGTCACTGTGGAAGCCCCCCTGCCCAGAAACAGCTGCCCTTGTGAAGGCCTGCCCCTCCCATAAACAGCAGCCATCACCACGGCTGTCCATCCCAGGCCTTTCCAGCACCCACGCACAATTCCTTCCTTGGGAGCAGAAGGTCCCCAGACCGGCGGGTGGTTCCAGACAGCAAGATGGGTGGGGCCAGGGAAGGTCGGTCTTCCTTTGTTGATTCAAATGGGCAGGGGGGTTCGGGGCCCCATGTAGGCAGCAGCTCCTTCTCCATCAAGAAGTCGGGGTCTGGGGAGCGAGCCCCTCCCTCTCAAGGTCAGGAGGCCATCTCTGCCCACCCTGCCCTCCTGGTTCTCAGCTTAACCATGGGTGCTTGGAGGCCTGGCCTAGGGGCAGGGCTGGGGACAGCTGAGGCCACACCCTCTCCCAGAGAGGCCCCCAAGTGGGGAAGCAGTGGTCTGGGATCCCCAAGAGCCCCCAGGTCTCTCCTTTTGGCAACCCCCAGCCCCCAGAGGAAGAGGTATAATCCCAGGCCGGGAGTTTAGGGGTCTCCAGGTGGCCTCATGGTGGCCCCGGCCAGCCAGCAGTGACCTGGTGGCCCCAGGAGGGATGGTAGTTCAGGGTCTGGTGGATACTGTGGCCAGCCCCGGCCACGGGCCAGCCCAGCCCGGCCCTCACCTTGAACCCGATGCCGCCCTTCTTACAGCACAGGCAGGCCAACATGAGGACGATGACGGTGAGGATCCCAGAGAAAGACACAGCCACCACGGCCAGGGAGGACGACCAGGACAGCTCGCTGAGGGGGGCGCCGTCTGCCAAGGGAGGGGGGACAGCGGTCACCCGGCAGCCTCTGAGGCCAGGAGCCCCACCCAGGCTGTGCCCCAGGGACCCCCCCCCCAGCCCCTCCTCTCCTGGGATCCCCAGCCCCTACCCATCCCCGGGCTCCCCAGTCTACCCTCAACCCCCTGTGGTCTGGGATGGAGCAGCCCTGAGCCTCAGCACCCCAACTCCTTGCTCCAAGAGGCCAGCCTGAGACCCCACTTGTGGGTACAGCTACCCAGCACAGGGCAGGCAGGACTGAAGGGGCGGCCGCAGAGTGGATGGAGCCTGCAGTCCTGTGGCCGGCCGCTGGGCGCTGCTGTAGCCTCCCCTGGGGAGCCTGCCCAGCCCTGAGTCCAGAGCGAGTGTGGCAGTGGTTCGTGGTGCCCCTCCTCGAGGTCAGGGTCTTGAGGCTGTGGAACCCTCCTGCATGTCTCTCCTGGACCCCATCACCCTGCCTCACCCCAGACCCTACCCTGGAGGCTGTCACCATGGCCAAGGCTGCAGGGATGGCTCGGGGAAAGGCCGTAAGACCCCAAGGGGGCAGGAAGGGGGACAAGGGCCCTGCCAAGTCAGAGGCCATGGAGCCGCTTGCATCCACTGTCACGTGCAGGGCTCCGGGCAGCGGCAGTCACCGACTGGCTTTCCCCGAGAAGGGCTGCCCGCCTGCCACCTGCCCGCCCACTGACCCCGCCTCGAGGCACACAGCCCCTGCTGCTGTCAGTGTTTCCAAGCGGCTCCTTCCTGGTCTGCCCCTCAGGGCCCTGGGCCGCGGTTTCTGTCCTGGAGCCCAGAGGGCAGCAAGGACCCCCTTGTGCAACACCTGGTCTGCGTGACCCCCCTCACTGCCTCTCATACAACCCAACCCAGAGGGGAAAGAGGTGCTGAGGACAGACTGACATGCCCCCCCTACAAACACACCACTGAGCCGAAGTCCCGCTCCCAAATCAGGCTCTGAGCTGCCCCAACGCCCAGCCAGGCCAGGGCTTTCTGGAGGCTTGCTCATCCAGTGCCTTCAGGCCCAGCCTGGGCATCCCCTGGACGGAGGAGGGCACATCGAGCTGGCAGCTCCTCTGGGCCTGTCCCTCCTGCCCCCTCCCCACCCGGTTCCCACTCACGCCCTTCCCCGTCGCCCTTCTCTGCCCATCTGTCCTCCGCTGCCAACGGCAGATCGCAAAGGAGTCGTCCCCCAGCCCAGGCCATCGTCACAGATCCCACAGCCAGGTCAGCACAAAGTGCCTCGTTCCTTCCTGACAGTCTGCTGAGGTGGCTGCCATGTCTACCCCACCTCGTGGGCAAGGAAAATGAGGCTTGAGAGGACCCCTCCCAAGGCGGCGGAGCTGACTGTGACCAGTGTGCTTCCAGCCACAGGCCTTGCTCCAGGGGCCACAACGCCCCCTACGGGGACCCCAGAGCTGCCTGTTGACCGGGGTGTGTGGGAAGGCTGCCTGGAGGAGGTGTGGCTCCAGGGAAGATGGCTGTCCTGACAGGCAGAGACCGAAGGCCATCCTGGGGGAGACAGCAATCCTGTCTGCAGCCTGGACTCGCTGCTCGGGACTCCAAGTCCATTCTCCTCAAAACACATGGAGGGCAGGTAGGCCCAAGGAGCCCACAGGCAGATAGGATTGCTCCTCAGGCCTGGAGCCCCCTTCAGTCCTGGAGCTCCCTCAGGCCTGGAGCCCCCTCCCTCGGGCCTGGAGCTCCCTCCCTCAGGCCTGGAGCCCCCTCAGGCTTGCAGCTCCCTCCCTCAGGCCTGGAGCCCCCCTCAGGCCTGGAGCTCCCTCCCTCGGGCCTGGAGCTCCCTCAGGCCTGGAGCCCCCTCCCTCGGGCCTGGAGCTCCCTCCCTCAGGCCTGGAGCCCCCTTCAGTCCTGGAGCTCCCTCAGGCCTGGAGCCCCCTCCCTCAGGCCTGGAGCTCCCTCAGGCCTGCAGCTCCCTCCGTCAGGCCTGGAGCTCCCTCCCTCAGGCCTGGAGCCCCCTCAGGCCTGCAGCTCCCTCCCTTGGGTCTGTGGGCCACCATTGCCTCTGACTTGTGGGCTGCAGGAAGGCTCAGTTGGGGGGTTCTGGGAAAACACCACACGTTTGGGGCCTCCCTGAGTGTGTGGGGACCAGAGGGTGACCCTCCACCCACGCCTCCCACCCTCGGTGCCAGCCACACCAGGCTGGGCCAGGGCCACGGATTTCAGTGGAAGAGGAGTCCGTTTTTACTGTTTTCAAGGCTCTGTTTTAATCAGACGAATCCGTACAGGGAGGGATGGCAGCTCCCGTCCGTGAAAACACGAGGTGTAAGAGTCAGATGTGTTCATGGAGACGGGGACTCCGACACAACAACCAGCGAGGTCTGCGGCACTCGGAGCTCAGCGACAACCGTGAACGCGCCAACGCCGTGGAGCACCCGACGCCGCCCTCTCCCCTCCCACCCTCTCCTCATGTGGAGGGTCCGAGGGGAGTGCTGCCCAGGGGCGTCCCAGTGTCCCTCTGTCCTGTTTCCTGTGTCCTAGCCGGCGGCCAGACAATCCCCCGTCTCGAGCAGGCTGCTGCTCTCCCGCGTGTATGATTCACGGTGATGCACTCAGTTTCCCCTGTTGGACTTTAAAATGATCCCTGTCCACTGCGTAAGCCATGGTGTTTTCAGTCGCCTCATAGGCATGTGAGAGCTGGATGATGAATAAGGAAGACTAAAGAATTGACGCCTTTGAATGATGGTGTTGGCAAAGAATATTGAATATACCATGGACGGCCAGAAGAAGGAACAAATCTGTCTTGGAAGAAGTACAGCCAGAATGCTCCTTAGACGCAAGGATGGCAAGACTACGTCTCCCATACTTTGGACATGTGATCAGGAGGGATCAGTCCCTTGAAAAGGACATCATGCTTGGTAAAGTAGAGGGTCAGCTAAAAAGAGAAGACCCTCAACGAGATGGACTGACACAATGGGCTCAAGCATAACAACGATTGTGAGGATGGCACGGGACTGGGCAGGGTTTCGTTCCGCTGGACGCAGGGTTGCTGTGAGTCGGAACCGACTCCATGGCGCCTAACAGCAGCAGCTGCCTAAGCAACAGGAGAAAGAAAGAGGCCCGCCCAACGCCCCTCCACCCCGAGCGCCACTTCGTTCTGGACTGTTTTCCACGCCCTGGATCGGCCACCCACCCTCTCGACCAGCATGGAGACCTGAGCCCTGCAGGATGTCACGGCCAGGCCACCGTCCAGCCACAGTCTGGCCACATGAGCCACTTCCAAAGGGCGCACAGCATGCCTGCGGGACAAGTCGGTGGCTTCCGACGGATTTGGGGTCTTTTATATAAAATTGCTCAGAACATCTGGGGCTTTGAGCCCCAGGCTTAAGAACTCACCTGCCCGAGTGCCTGCTGCACGCCGAGGGCCAGCTGTGTACACAGGACTGCCCCGAGTCCCCCTTGCAAGGAGGGGCTGTCCCGTTTCAGTGAGCAGACCTCACCCCTCCCCACCCAGCTTCCTGTCCTGGAGTCGCCCCTCTGCCCCCAACTCCTGGGCGGAAGGTGGCTCTGATCCCCATGGGGGAGGCTCGTGCAAGGGGACGTCCTCCGTGCAGCGGCATTCAACCACACTGTGCAGCCAGCGTTGCTCCCCACCTCTGCTGTCCCCCACCAGTGGGCCCCCTCCCCTCCCGGGCCCTCTCCTCTCTCTTTCATTCTTTACTGGTTTGTTTGCTTTCAAGTTCAAGGAAACCTTTTGGGGTCCCCCCTCAGGCCCTCCTAGCAGCCTCAGCTGCCCACCAGGCTGCCTGGGGGAACTGTGCTGGACAGAGACTCCAGGGAAGGCAGGTGGGCCTGGAGGACCTCTTCCTGACCCTTGTCCTCGGAGCCTCCCCACCTCCCATCCCTACCACTCCAGACCTTCCCCTCCATCAACTGGGGCTCACTCCGGAGGGGACCGACAGTAAAAAGGCTGTGCCAGACAGCCCAGCCTCTCTCTGGAAGCTTCTCCAAGGCAAGCCTGATCCCCGGGCGCAGGGGGCAGGACTGTGCTCAGGTCAGCTTGATCTTTACCCGCCCTTGGCCCACTGCAACTCAGTGGAGTCTGTGGAAGGGGGTAGGAGGGACACAGGTGGTTGTGAGGGGCTACAGGGGAGGCCTGGGTGCCCCTTGGGGGGATGCAGAGGGGAAGGCATGTCCCCCCCACGTGTGGATGCTCTGGAGGCCTAAGGGTGACGGGGAGGGGCCTGGGTTCTTCATCAAGGTGTCCCTGCAGGAACACACTGTGCGGGGGATGACAAGACCCTGTGTGCCCAAGAAGGGGCACTGCAGTCCCAGGCACAGACTCCTTCGGGTTGACCCCCGCAAAAACCCAAACTCGTTGCCGTAGAGTTGATTCCGACTCATAGCGACCCTGCAGGACAGAGCAGAACTGCCCCATAGGGTTCCCAAGGAGCAGCTAGTGGATTGGAACTGCAGACCTTTTTGTTAGCAGCTGAGCTGTTAACCACTGCGCCACCCTCCTGAATTCTGGCACCTCTGGCCCGGGCTCTCACAGGTCCCTGTGAATCTCGGCCCTCTAGCCTCAGGCACTGCCTCCCCTGGGGAGGCGGGCAGCAGCAGTTCCGGTCCCACTGATGGGGATGGGGGGGGGGCCCAGGTTGGGGAAAGAGGGCACCACTCAGAATAGAGTCAGGTGCTGGGACCCGGCCAGGCCAGCTCCTCCAAAAAGGTAAACAGAAGAGAGGTCAGGTCAGTGTTGTCCACAGGGCAGGCTGTCACATGATCTGGGTCACCCCGACGCCCCCAGCAAGGCCTGGTGATTCTACCTTAGATACAGCTCTAAACAGATCAGATAAACTAAGACTTCCTGGTTGGGGGGGGGACCAGAAAAGGGGTAACTCTTGTATGATCCCACTTATGAGCCATCCAGAATAGGCAAATGCACAGAGACAGAAAGTAGATTGGAGGTTACGAGGGGCTGGGGCGGGAGACGAAGCTTATAGCTGAAGGGGTGCAGAGTTTCTGTCTGGGGGGATGAACAGGCTCTGGGAATAAACAGTGGGGACGGCTGTACAACATACTGAATGTAATTAACGCCACTGAACTGAATACTTAAAATGGCTAAAAGGGCAAATTTTATGTTATATACATTTTGCCA